GCAGACCTCTTCCCTGGGGAAAGATGGACACCCAGGGAAAAGTGCAGGACCCAAAGAACTCAAGTTACCCTCTCTCTCTAATTAAGACATATTCCTCCCCTTCATGGACGTGCTGCCTCGCTGCTTCAGGGACATGAACTGCTCCATTAAGAATCTGGCTGGGCATGAAGGCTACTACTAATCCACACAACTCAAAGTTCACATAGCATAAGGTGACCCACCTTCAGTTAGTGTCACCCCAGAAGCCTTACTTAGAGGTCGTGTGAGTCAAGCCCCAGCTTCTACAGATAAGGAAAACAGAGGGTCAAAGATAAATGACTTCTGGTGGGTGGGTAGCAGGGAGGGGCTAGAAACTGATTCCTCACTGAGTCTGGGCTTTTGAGATGCTGACTCCTAGTTCACATCTATCACACCAGAGGGGTCTTTGGAAGAAAGGGCTATCATTTTGGGCCCCAGAAACATGGCCTTAATGTGGCACAGTATAGTCTGGTAAGACCTCAGTTGAGTAAAGCCCAGGACTGGGTCTTTCAATCAGCCAAAGACTGCCTGGAGGCATCTGCCCTGTTTCTGCTCATCTCCAGCCAAGACTCCTCCAGGAAGGACACATGCTGGAGATGCCTCTAAGCCTCAATACTGGAATCCTTCCTGCTCAAGAACATGCCCAACTTTTGCTCCTACTTACAGTCCCAGGTAAACTTTCCAAGATAGAAATGTAGATTACCTGCAAAATAAAAGCCTGTTTCCACAGGAGCGTTAACAGGCCAAGTGCAGCAAAAGGCAAGCGGCTGAAGATTCATTCCGGGGTTTGTCACTTGTCTGGGCTAGCCAAAGGTAAGGGAAAGTGAGCTTGATGGGAAAGGTCAGTAAGAAATGAAATGGGCCTCAGTGGGGGAAGGGCACAGATGTTTGCTTACTGTTGAGTAGTATTTTACATTATCTCATTAATCTTGACTAATTAGATGACTAAGACATCTTATTACAAACCCCATGAGGAAATTCAAGTTTTGGAAAAACTGCTCCACTCTGGGTGTGTCTACACCCGAGATGTCCTGCAATCCTCTCAACAGATGGAGGCTGGCCTCCTGGCTTGGGCAGTCACACCCAGCTTTTTCATCATGTGGAGAGCATACAACCCTTCTTGCCACCACTCCACACCCTTTTGTGCATCTGATGTTAATATTTTATTTAGTGCTGGATGTCTGCTTTTTACCTGTTTATGTGCAGTGACTGGAAACTTAATACTTATCATAAAGCATCATAAGCAACAGATACTGAATGTCCTGATGTATCTAAATATGTCAACCTTAACCACTATTTTCATGGTTCAGTATGTCCCTCAGTGTGCCTACTTAGTAATGAAATGACTCTGATGCAGAAGAGAAAATGGGTCGAGTCCTCCTGTGTTTGACAGGGAGCACTTGTTTTCCTTACATCGGGGAAAGTGGGGCAATGGAGAAAGGGTATTCCCTGAAAGGCCCAAAAGCCCAAAGTACCTCTGCTTCTCCCTAACCCAGTTCTTTTAGGACAGATAAGTCTAGAACATGATAGAGAATGGAAATGAGAATATTCCTATTAAATAAGCAGTGAAGACAGCTTTCCTTTTGTTTCTAGCAAAACGGCCTAACCAGACATACCAATATCATTTGTTCAACTACTGCTTCTAATGTGCAACCACAATACTTGGTTACACCTCGCCATCTATGTTCCTTCTCTTACCTTAATCTCCCTGAGGGAGTCTTACCTTCACATACTTGACACCTAGGAACCTGACTTCTGCTGTTGACAGCCCACAAGGGGTGGGTGGTATGTTGGTTGCTATCACATGCATCCCTTCACTTGGCCATGACAAGAACCTCTTGGAGTGTCACTCTCTTTTTATGGTAAGGAAAGAATAGTTGCCTAGTGAAGGGTCACAAAATCAGGCAACAGGAGACCCAGGATGCAGACCCCAGTCTCCTGAGTGGGGATCCCATCCCTTCCCCAACATGCCCTGCAGAAGTCTCTCAGGTGGAGTTCATCTGGTTACTGGTCTGCCTTCACTCACTTCAGCTGGGCTTGTTTACTAATAAGCAAGGCCCTGGATCACCTGAGTATGATGAATTTATGGAGGAAATACTTGAGAAAAACTATTAAATGTTGTGCAAATGCAAGCTAGTCTTAATATCAACTAAAAGGTTATGACTTTTTTGTATGAAAAAAAAAGCCTGATCAAGAGAGCAGTAAGATGAAATATTCCCTTTAAGCTTTTAACGTAGCAGTAAGTTCAAAGCTTCGAGTATCCATGAATCAAAAAGGGGAGAATACAAGTGGAGCCTGCTGGTAGGTCACCATGTGCTGGTAATACCCAGCTAAAAATGAGCAGAGCCCTTGTGCAACACAGAGAAGACAAGTAGTGATTTTACAGCATCTTATACACTGATGGACAGTGACTGTGAAGGGGTATGTGGGGGGACTTGGTGAAGGGGGGAGCCTACTAAACATAATGTTCTTCATGTAATTGTAAATTAATGATACCAAAAAAAAAATTAAGACTGAGAAAAACTGGGTATTTTTTGTTAAGCACAGGCTTATCAAGAGTCTGAAGGACTCATTTCAACTTGTACACACAAAGCCCATACAGACAAATGCATAAAAACATAATCATTTGTGTTCTTCACAAAGTACTCAGGACTTCAACGAAAAAGTCACAAGGAAAAAATCCTAGCTCAAAGCAATTAAAAGTATAAATACAAGCCATTATAACCCTATCATAAACCAAAAAAGATGATGCCCCCTAAAACGAAGTGTTTAAAGGGGCATCAGAGGGGGGAGTGATAAGGAAAATATTCAACACAGCCATCAAGGTCAGCAAACTGCTTTTTTCCTCCAGCTGGCAAAGCCCTCCCAGCTGCCTCCTCCCCTCCTCCGGGCTCCTCCTGTGCCCTGCACATGCCAAAATGCCACATATCAAAATAATATAATTGCTCCCTTTGCTTGTGCTCAGGGCTCAGACCTTGGGAGATTACTCCTCTCTGAGACCGCCGGTGTGAAATAAAACCTCAACACTCCAAGAAAAAAAAAAAAAATGAGCAGAGCCTTGTGCTCCTGGGAAACAGATATTTGTGAATCCATGTGGGCTGCTCGCATTCCTCACAGGCAGCAGTTCCCAATGAAAGGATCAGAATCACCTGGGTAACTGTTCCAACACACCAGTAGAGTCCCATACTCCCAAGGTGAGAGGAAGGAAATTCTGAAGCTAGTTCCTGGGTGTCTGGCCATACTCCCCTCTCCTGGCCTCTCTCCTGGCCTGGCTGAGAACTGCAGCTTGTACTGGAAGTTGCCTTGCACCCCCTCCCCCAGCCCAACTGGTTCTTGCTGTTCCACCTCTTTTGGGCCTCGAATCAAATCATAACTAATTTTTTCTGTAGGTGAGTGCCAATGTTCTGCTTGGACATAAAAGCAAAGAGCTAATCTGGCTCCTTTTGTACAGTGTCATTCTGAATTGGAAATTCTAATAATCAAATCCCACCCCCTAAACATCTGGGCCTCACAGGAGATTTGGCAACTCTGAATCTGCAGGCAGGTATGGCTGGTACCTGTACAGACAACACACCGAGGCCAATTAGAGCCAGGGTCACAGACGCACAGAGGGTTAGAGCTAGGACTTCTTTTTAGATCACCTGATGAACCACCCAGGGCTTTAACAACTGAAATCCAAAGATGTTAATGCAGTATTCCTCAACCAAGGCCACACATCACACTTACCTGAGACACTTCACAAATGTGGGCGGCCAGACCCCATAAGAGAGTCTGACCTGTAGACTTCAGTGGAGTTCCATGCCGTTACGGGTGACCCTGGGGGCTATGGTAAAGTGACTTGCCTGGGGTCACTATAGAGAACTGGACAGGTTTGTGGCCTTCCTTCCGGCAATATAACTGTGACTCTAAAGGAAATGAGCTTAAAACTGAACTGTATTGATTACTGAATATGTAAGGCATTCTGAGAAGCCCCCTAACTCCAAAGCCTTCCCTAACAAACTGGCCACTGCTGATAATGAAATCCACAGCCTTTTGTGATGCCAAGGCTCCCATGCCTACACTAAGCGCGAGTGGCCAGGGGCTGGATGAGGAAGAGTTTGGAGGCCAATGCAATACCTCTCCCTAAGGTTTGGGAGACAATTTCACCAACAGCTCCAGTTATGAGGACAGCACTCCTGTCCTGTCCCTCAACATTAAAATGAACATTTCCTGTCCTGTGGCGCTACTCTGGCTTCTCACCAGAGACAGGCTGGACCAGGAAGATGACTGAATGAGGCTGAAAAGACTTAATAAGTCTCCAAAACAATGACTCGGGATGCCATAGAGGACTAAGGGCAGTTATCTAAGGTTTTGTAGAGCAGCCGTGAAATCACGAGAATATCACTAGTGACAGCTGGGCCATCACTATATTCTAGAGCTTCCAACCTCCTGGTGAGACACTGTGCCTTCATCTAGTGAGCCGGCCTGGTAACAGGCCATGCCCATCAGGCTGCTTTTACCATTCCGTCAGAACCCCACACTGCACGTAAACAAAATGCACTGGATTAGACTGAACACCCCTGACTATGGATTCACACGATTACTTCTATAACTGCCCTTCCTTCCGGAGTCTCTCCTAAGCAAGTGGATCACAAATAAGCCCACCATATTATTGACATCTATATTACACTGCCTCTTAGTATTGAACAGTCTGGCGAATGGAGCGCCTCTTACCATGTGTGGGTTGTTACTCAGCACGCCCACGTTTCTAGAAAGCCCTGCTGCTTATTGCTCATATCTCATGTGGACATGTGAGCCAGGCAGACATGTTCTTCGTGTACTCCCCACTGCTCACCTTCAGCCAGTGCTAAATGGTGAATGGTGACAGTCCTGACCCTCAGAAATGACACATTTGATGGGGAAGATTACTGGACTTTCAAATAAAAATCAAGTTCAGACCCCTAGGAAAGGCAAAAACAAAACAAAACACACTGGACCTCATACATGTTTCATATACATATTTATATATATTTCATGTACAAAGTTACAATCTGAACCCCAGGGATTCCATAATAGAAATAAATACTGAAATAACTACATTGCTAAATCAGCTTTTTGCTCATAGCAACGAGGCCTCAGCCTCTAAGAGACAGCAAGTGGGACATTCTAGAACCCATTTTTCAGATTACAGAGGCAGGTAATAAATGTCTAGGACAAAAAACAAATTCAGAACATAAAATGATTAAAACATATTCAAATACTGAGAAATGTATGACAAAACTGATAAAAACTTAACTTTTTAAAGAGAAAAAGACATTAGTGTTACAAAACAGCATAACCCTGTTAGAAAAGCATTTATGACTTCCACATTTAATTCTCTCTACTCTTTCCATGTTATAAACTGGGACTAAATGAGTCCCTTCCTCAACATGATCAATTAAGAAGAGCCCTAAATCTGGCTGAGTCCTTTGGTAACAGTCATAATACTCACAAGGAAATAAATATTCAGTTCCACAGCATTTGTAAGACACACGTTCTTTAGGACAGTTAGTATTATGAGACACAATTGCTTTGCTTTGTTTTGTTACTATGGCAGCCAGTGTTAAAGGGTCTGTTCTCAAATGTAGGAGACCTTTACAAGAAATGAGCAATGCAGCAACTGAGAGAATGTATTTTAATCTTTCTGTGCAAACACATTTAATCTGCAAAGTTATGTGCTGCATATTTTGTGCTCAAATGTTTGACACTCTCAACAAGCTGCAGCTAGTAAGATATCCTTCACAATTTAAAAAATTTAGATCTGTATGAGTTAGAGAAAAACTTTCTCAAAACTGGGTTGCTGGACAATAGTCTCCCTTTGCCTCACAGGGACTTGAAGCAGCATTCCAGTGTTAGGCTGGTGTGATGACACTGCCATTGTGCAGATCAGCAATGGCTGAACAACAGCGACTGCACATGGCTCAACCTCGTACATCCCCCAAGCATAACAAATAAGAGAATTCTTGGGGATTCCTTGTTTCTTTCAATAGGGGTAAACTTTTTTACACGGAGAGACCAACCTCTCTGCCCTGGACTCAATAGCTGCATGCAGTTCACACCAACCACTCTGCTGTGTATAAGAAGCTTACATTTTGGAATTTGCCTGTAAAAGTTATCACCTTGATCAAAGTGACTGTTACAAGAATATAAATCTATTTTTAGGGAAGTAAAGTAATCTGTAGAAATATTTTACTGAAATTACAAACACAAGGACAAGCCCTTAAAAAAAATTATACAAGCATTTTTATATTTTCTTTAGTCCCTGAAGTTTAATTAACAGGACTACAGATAATGTGACAGCTTGCGATAAAATAACTACAGAACTATATTCCTTAAGTTAAATCAAGTTTTTTAAAAAAGTAATTACAACCACTGTTTGCATTTTTCACCTTTAACTCCTGATTTCCTAAATTAAAGACTGAACAGCAAATAAGGTCGGATTCTGGGATGTTCACTTCTTGGGATTAAAATTCCCGAACACTTTGGTGACTCTTTTCTGTGAACTGTATGACAACCCCCCCAAAATATTTACTCATGTGGGTTTGTTTTTAGGTATTGCCAAAAATGGCTCAGATTTAAAATAAAAGCACAGTTTATAAGCCACGGAAAAGTGGCCTAAATTTTGGTGCCCTGAAGAAAAGTGACTAAGTAGCTCAAGCAAAAAATTATCCTTTCACTATAGCTTTTACCCAAAGCGTTTTCCTCTCCTCATCACCTAAAGTGGCCACAGTCTTGCTGTGTGCCCGATGTGTGCACAGACTCCTGTGGCCCAATGGGCCCAAAGGCCTTTGGGGCTCACCAAACCTGATCCATGTATCTTATAATCCAACCTGATCATGTATATACTTAAGAGACACTGGTATACTTTTTACAAATATTTCTGCATGGAAGTTCAGGGAAAAATACCCCTGCTACTTCAGAATGTGTACGCTGGCTGAGACATGTGTTTGTTTTCTTTCCCTTGAAGCAGTCTTTCTGTGGGTTGGAGGGCATTTACCCAATAGGTTTCTATTTAAAAAGAGCACTTAAATTTTTATTTAGGTTTGCTTAAAGTAATGAATAAGAAATGGTAAAAGCACACATTTTCAAGCAGCTTGAGGGGGGTAAAAAATGCAGCATAATGGTTTTTAAAAACTTACACAAGAACATCAGTTAAACCCAGACTCTATTTTTGGAATAGACATTGTGAGTGAAAAGAAATTAACATCAACTTTTACTTTATGGTGTCTTGGCTTTGTCTTCTTCCCCTTCATGGCTTCCCTCTTTGAAGATGGCATTTTAATCTCAAAAGGGCACAAAAGCTTAAATGCATCGTTTATATATAAAATATCATGATGTAGCTCTTCCGCAGTTTTATGCAGAACAAGAGAAAATACTCTTCCTAATCAGATCTCTCATTCGGTTTGTCAGGCCACACTCCATCACTATGACAGCCTTACTCAGCTGGGAAGAGCAATCCAAGAACAACTGGTAAACAGGTGAATTTTTTACATGGGAAAAACTTGAGCAATGACCACCATCTGCTGGTACAAGTAACCAAACACAAGTTGCTTAAAAAAAATTAATCCTCCCATTGCTGAAGCCTATCTCTAAGCCTTTTAAATAGTATACTTTTCAGACATGTCAGTATGAAAGTGAGTTGAGACCAGTCTCAAAAAAAAAGGAAAAAAAGAAAAATCACAATAGTCAGAGAGCAGGCCTCATAAACTTTAGAGATCTAATAAGTCAGAAACAGGAAACTTTTATTTAAATAGTGTAGTCTTAATTTCTTTAATATAAAACCCCCCAAAATCTGATGAAAGAAAGCTTTATATACCATATAAACAAGATTTGTCAGATTTGAAAGTGAAAGTTTAAGTAATTTACAGTTAGCTTTTAGCCCTGGAGGGACATTTAGATAAATCATGATAATCCACCTGGTATTAGTTTGTGTTAATTCTATAATACACTGGGGAAAACTCTACTATTGTACTTAATGGTACAGCAAGTGTTTCCATTAATTCCATTATTAGTGACAGGTAAAAAGTGATCCCATCAAATGAAGTGAGTGAGATTAGCTGTGGCAAGTAAACCACATCTGGATTGCTTTCTGTAATTCACCAGTTTGCAGAAAGTAAACATTTTTTGATTTGTTTATAACATACTGAAATTGCCTATAACACTGGTGCAGTAAAACAGCTAGTTCCTGTATTATTACAGTAGGAGAGATTTTGTAATATAAAGTTAACAGGAAAAAAATGCTCACACACTATGTGGTGAAACTTATTTCACAAAGAGAGCATTAAATAAAGGGGAAAAGGGAAAATAAACCATGCAGAAGAGACAGCTTCCCATCTCTGCCTGTTTCCTATGGGCTCACTCACTGCCATACATCACTTGCCACACAATCAAGTGACTCCTTTCTGCTTTGGTGACAGAAGGTTCAAGTGGAAGATCCTCTCCAAGAAGTTCTGATTCTCCACCTTCATCACCTGGTGGATGATAAGGAGACTCAAGTTAGGTTAAGCATGTAATATGCAGGCTGATGTACAACAGACATGATGTTCGTTAGTCTATGAGCAGTATGCACAAACTTGTCTGATCCCATTTCAGAGAACAAAGTAAAAGATATGCATTGACTCAGAATCTTCATGCGCCTAACTTCTGGAAAGGTTAATTCATGTTTCAGATTATATTTATAAAAGGGAGTTTACTATATTATGTTGGAAACTCATCCCAATATATCTGCATACTGAAGTTAGCAGAACTGGGAAGAAGCTAAGGAAACAAAGCTGTCCCATCTTGTGTTCATTCAAAATGGATGGCATCTACTCCAGTTTATTTCAAACTAAGAATTGTGACTAGATAGTACTGTTAATGTGCAAGTATGAACATAGAGCTCAAAAACTAAACCCAAACAAGTCATGTGTACTATCAACAACAGTGAAGTCCTCCAATCAAAGGTAACTGATACAAGCACATGGAAATTCAAATTGTCTCCCTGTAGCACTGCGAGATGGCAGATTCGTCACATAATATACTGGGGTTTTCTTCCCATGATTTTCAAGTTTGGGATACGTTACGAATTAACAGTGTATGGTGGAGATGAAGAAATCAAGTTGAAAGGACAGGTTCTTCAGCAGATTCCTACAAACTTATAAACCAAGGGACAGAAATATAATGCTGATCTAGTAGAATTACATAATATGTCTGTCTCACCTGAGTTTCAGCTGGGCAAAAGAAAACATTGATAAAGTCAAATGGAAGAAAGGAAAGAGTGGAAGAGAAAAAAACCTCTAAAAATCAGCATTTTTCTTTACAGGTCAAATGCCTCACCAACCCCTAGTGGCCTTTCACAGCAATGTCAAACTGGTGAGAGAAAAGCATGCCTTAAAAATGCTCAAGACAAATCTAATTTCTGAAATAAAATATATCAGGTGGTTAGAAAGTAAAAACTTAAATTTATTTTTTAAATTAAAAAAAAAATAACAATGAAGATAAGATCGTTGGCATTTGTTTCTTGAGTTTTGTTTTGAAAGTTGTTTTTAAAAAATTACCGTTTCCTAAGGACTCTACAGTCTACTTAATAAGCCATTAAAAAATGAGACAGTTTGGATCAAATTCTCATTGTTAAAATATTATAGGAAAATAAAAATGGAAATGGAACAAAAAAAAGATCAAATTCAATTTTTTTTCCAAGTTACCTTCCAAATTTTAAACTTTTATTCTCTAGAATATAGTCCATCATATAGACTATAACCTCTAGGATGTCATTGCTTGTTCTTTCTTTTTTAAAAATTTTTTATTAAAGTATTATTGATATAGACTCTTACGAAGGTTTCATATGAAAAAACAATATGGTTACTACATTTACCCATATTATCAAGTCCCAACCCATACCCCAATGCAGTCACTGTCCATCAGTGCAGTAACATGCCACAGATTCATTATTTGCCTTCTCTGTGCTACAGTTTTTCCCGTGGCCCCTCAACACCATGTGTATTAAACATAATACCTCTTAATACCCTCTCCCTCCCTCCTCCCCCATGCCTCCCCTTTGGTAACCGCTAGTCCCTTCTTGGAGTCTCTGAGTCTGCTGCTGTTTTGTTCCTTCAGTTTTGCTTCGTTGTTATACTCCACAAATGAGGGAAATCATTTGGCACTTGTCTTTCCCTGCCTGGCTTATTTCACTGAGCATAATATCCTCCAACTCTAACCATGTTGTTGCAAATGGTAAGATTTGTTTCTTATGGATGAACAGTATTGCATTGTGTATATGTACCATCTCTTCTTTATCCATTCATCTACTGATGGACACTTAGGTTGCTTCCATGTCTTGGCTATTGTAAATAGTGCTGCAATAAACATAGGGGTGCATATGTCGTTTTGAATCTGAGAACTTGTATTCTTTGGATAAATTCCAAGGAGTGGGATTCCCGGGTCAAATGGTATTTCTATTTAGTTTATTGAGGAACCTCCATATTGCTTTCCATAATGGTTGAACTAGTTTACATTCCCACCAGCAGGGTAGGAGGGTTCCTCTTTCTCTGCATCCTCGCCAGCATTTGTTGTTCTTAGTCTTTTCGATGCTGGCCATCCTTACTGGTGTGAGGTGATATCTCATTGTGGTTTTGATTTGCATTTCCCTGATGACTAGTGATGTGGAGCATCTTTTCATGTGCCTGCTGGCCATCTGAATTTCTTCTTTGGAGAAGTGTCTGTTCATATCCTCCACCCATTTTTTAAATCGGGTTATTTGCTTTTTGGGTGTTGAAGTGTGTGAGTTCTTTACATATTTTGGATGTTAAACCCTTGTCGGATCTGTCATTTATAAATATATTCTCCCATACTGTAGGACGTCCTTTTGTTCTGTTGACGGTGTCCTTTGCTTTTTAGTTTGATAGTTTTGTTGATGGTGTACAGAAGCTTTGTAGTTTGATGTAGTCCCACTTGTTCATTTTTGCTTTTGTTTCCCTTGCTCGAGGAGATGAGTTCAGGAAGAAGTTGCTCATGTTTATTATATTCAGGAGATTTTTGCCTATGTTTTCTTCTAAGAATGACTTACATTCAGGTCTTTGTTCCATTTCAAGTTTACTATTGTGTGTGGGGTTAAACAATCCAGTTTCATTCTCTTACATGTAGCTGTCCATTTTTGCCAACACCAGCTGTTGAAGAGGCTGTCATTTCCCCATTGTATGTCCATGGCTCCTTTATCATATATTAATTGACCATATATGGCTGGGTTTATATCTGGGTTCTCTAGTCTGTTCTATTGGTCTATGGTTCTGTTCTTGTGCCAGTACCAAATTGTCTTGATTAGTGTGGCTTTGTAGTAAGTAGAGCTTGAAGCTGGGGAGCAGAATCTCCCAGCTTTATTCTTCTCAGGATTGCTTTGGCTATTCAGGGTCTTTTGTGGTTCCATATGAATTTTAGAACGATTTTCTCCAGTTCACTGAAGAATGCTGTTGGTATTTTGATAGGAATTGGCTAAATCTGGAGATTGCTTTAAGCAGGATGACCATTTTGACAATATTAATTCTTCCTATCCATGAGCGTGGGATATGTTTCCATTTATTGGTATCTTCTTTAATTTCTCTCATGAGCATCTTGTAGTTTTTGGAGTATAGGTCTTTTACTTCCTTGGTTAGGTTTATTCCTAGGTATTTTATTCTTTTTGATGCAACTGTGAATGGAATTGTTTTCCTGATTTCTCTTTCTGCTAGTTCATCGTTAGTGTATAGGAATGCGACAGATTTCTGTGTATTAATTCTGTAGCCTGCAACTTTGCTGAATTCAGATATTAGATCTAGTAGTTTTGGAGTGAATTCTTTAGGGTTTTTTTATGTACAATATCATGTGATCTGCAAACAGGGACAGTTTAACTTCCTTGCCAATCTGGATGCCTTTTATTTCTTTGTGTTTGATAGCCGTGGCTAGGACCTCCAGAACTATGTTGAATGAATGAAAGTGGGGACAGTGGACATCCTTGTCTTGTTCCTGATCTTAAAGGAAAAGCTTTTAGCTTCTTGCTGTTAAGTATGATTTTGGCTGTGGGTTTATCATATATGGCCTTTATTATGTTGAGGTACTTGCCCTCTATACCCACTTTGTTGAGAGTTTTTATCATGAATGGATGTTGAATTTTGTCAAATGCTTTTTCAGCATCTATGGAGATGATCATGTGGTTTTTCTGGAATAAATCCTACTTGATCCCAATAGATGGTCTTTTTGATGTATTTTTTAATTCGCTTTGCTAATATTTTGTTGAGTATTTTTGCATCTATGTTTATCAGGCATATTGGTCTGTAATTTTCTTTTTTTGTGGTGTCTGCCTGGTTTTGATATTAGAGTAATGTTGGCCTTGTAGAATGAGTTTGGAAGTGTTTCATCCTCTTCTACTTTTTGGAAAACTTTAAGGAGGATGGGTATTAGGTCTTCAATAAATGTTTGATAAAATTCAGCGGTGAAGCTGTCTGGGCCAGGAGTTTTGTTCTTAGGTAGTTTTTTGATTACCAATTCAAATTCGTTGCTGGTAACATTATTTACTATTAAAATTAACTTGTGTTATTAAACAAGTCTGGTTTGAGGCTGGACTAACAAGTGACACTGACAGAACTGGTTAAGCAATTTTTATGCTATTTTCAGGATTCACAATGGAAGCTATTTTTAGTAGAAATAGAAAAACCATATAGAAATGTTATTAATATACACTTTAGTATAGTTCCAACTGTCATGCTACACTCCAAGAAAAAGCTCCCAAAATTACCCCAGCTAAGTGAAGTCCCTCTCTGTAAAGGAATTCTGCACTGAGTCAGTTATTTAAAACACCTGAAGTGATTCCATTCCTGCAGACATTGCCAGAATCAACCAATTTCTAAACTTAACACCCATCCTTTAAAATGTGTCAATAAGCCTTTTGCATCAGATATTGTAATTCATATTAGATGCATGTGGCACACTGTCATTTAAGTGACCCTAAATTTTATATTCCTTTTTACAGAATTTATAATTAAAGTATTTGTCATCTATCTACAACAGTACCTTCTCTAAAATCTTATGTTTTAGGATCACTTTCAATCACTGTGTTTTCAGGCCAGTCTAAAGGATGACTGTAATAAGAGCAAATGACTTCACATCACAGTGCTTCACAATTCACAAGCACTTTCACAAACATCAATTTTCTGTGTTATTTTTGTACCTCTCTGGCTGTTCCTTCTTAGATCCCTTAATAAGCTCTAATGATTCTTTAAATGGAGTATTAATACGGGGTTCTATCCTACAACCTCTTCTTTTAGCCCAACATACTCTCCTTGGGTGAACTCATCAGTCCTTGTGGTTTTCAGTACCACAGCATGCCAAGAGCCCCCAAATCTACTGAGATATAAAACCTTCACACCCCAAAGCCCAGTGAACATCTCTCAGCTAGGTGATTCCCAACTCCCATGCTCTTCAAAGATCGACATGTGCAGCACAGAGCTCCTCTTCCTGCCTCCAATCTGCTGCTCCTGTGCTAGTAGTCTTTATCTCCGAGTAAACGGGTCATTCTCTCTTTACCCACATCCTATTGGTGACCAATTCCTCAGAATGCTGCTCATCTATTCCTATTGTTACTCATATTCCCCCTAATTCACTTCCCTATTTCTAGTCTTACACCTCCAATCCATCTTCCACACAAATCTAACCATATTGCTCTTCTATTTCAAGTCCTCCAATAGTTTTCCTTTGCTTCAAAGATAAATGTGCAAACTTTGTAATTTGGTATACAAAGGACTTCCATAAGCCAGACTCTCCCTCCCTGTTTAGACTTCTGCCTGCTCGAATCTGCACTTGCTTCTACTCCATGCTCCAGTCATTTTGAAATAGCTTTTCTTTAGTTAAGATGGCTTCACATTTCTACCCCTTTGGTTAAGCTGTTCTCCTTTCTCAGAATGCCTATCCTCCAAGCCTTCTCCATTCCATTCCCCAACCCTATTCTTTACACTCTTCTCTCCCTACCCTTAGGAACAAATGACTACTCCCCATCAGAGAATCTATGACACTAACTTATGAATATGTTCTATCTCTGCAGGGAGGCTTTGATTTGTTTCTGTATCTCAGGACCCGACAGCTGACAGACACATAGTAGATAATTAATGCTTATGAGGTGAAAAAAACAAATTGACTAAATTTTGACACAAACAACACTTTAGGAGCTTATTTGTATTTCTACATTTTGCAGGTGAGGAAACTGAGGTTCTGGGAGGTTGAATGATTTGTCCAAGGCCTCTGGTTCCCTATCTTATGCTCTTTACAAGTATCTCAATATGTGACCAAACCCTGCTGTCTTCGAATGCTCCTTCAAACACATATACTTTGGTATAAAAAGAAATTAAGAAGAAACAAAAATTAAGAAAGAAAGAAGTAGAAATAGAAAGAAAGAAAAAGAAAAAGAGTCATTTTCCAAGTAAAGAATTAGAAGAAAACCTCTTAGAAATCACTTAGATATCAGAGTGGTTTCTTATTACTGTGGGTGAAGATTCCAGTCTCACAGCACAGTGGAAGCTGAGTTCCCAGAACCAGTGACTTACCCATCCGGAAGTCAATGTAGCCCTCTCCGCCACTGATGACAAGCATAGACTTCAAGGGCGTCTGGCTGCCCGGTTCCTGTGCAGACGGCCCTGCTTTGTCACCTGCTAGATCTGTGCCACTACTGCCACCCTGTGGGTTGATGACCTGACCTATTTATACAGGAACAGAAGTGAATATTACTTACTATAGATTGGGGTGGAGGAGATTCATTTCTTCTGAATATTTTCAGAAAGCTGAGCAAAAAGGTAAGTACATTCTAATACAACCAAATTACTGGGGATGCTGGAAGCCTCTGCATGATCAGAAAATATCTATAAAGGTCATAAAGTACAATACGAAAATTAAGTAGAGCCATTTTGTACCAAAGCAGGGACAGGCCCCAAATCCTGTATGAATCTGTGCATGACCAGGCTGGTCTTAGCTGCCTGTCTCAGACTATTCCAATCTACATCCTTTGATCTGAGGGACAGTGTGGAGAGGTCTCTCCCCTGAAAAGGCGTATGTGTGTTTATGTGAGAGACTGAGAACAGTCTTCAACTGAAGCCTTATGAGTTTGGATATTCATAACTAATATTTACATTTATTTCAAATCCATGGTTTTTCTCTCATATTTAAGAAAAGTACCTCTTATTTTTCATATGGATTATGCAAATAAAATTACTGGTATATGTGCTATTTGTTCTAAAGTTTAAGCTCTAAAGTAGAATTCTTGAGTGTGTAATAGTAGAGAGAAACCTTTAAATATTATTCACACTATAATCTCTATGACATTCCTCTTAGAAAGTTTTGGTTGTGAAGTATTTGATTTTTCTTGCCAGAATCTGTTGTCCTTTGGTCACAATACACAGACCATGCTTCAGGAGAGAGCAGGACACAGGCCTATTGATAAGACACACTTTAAAAAATTTATGTTTAAAATAGAGAGGAGAGTGCCTCATTCATGCATTACTCAAGCCTGACAGAAATAACTCCTGTTAGCAGACAAAATAGTTCTGTCACACAAGCAAGAGCAAAGCGGTATGATTATAAAGCCAACCTGAATAATTTAATCTTTAGGTGCAACTGGTCAACAAACAACGTTGCCAGTTCCACTTCCAGATTTATACCCAGCAAGTCTTTCTCATATGTGCAAGAAGTCCAGTGGAGTATTATTTTTTTAATAAGGGGGCAAAGGGAAGAAAAAAACTAGAGGTTTTTTCCATCAACAGAATGAATAAAATGTACTATATTTATTCAGATACTAGAATACTATGGTTAAATGAATGTACCAGATTTTTACATATAAACATCAGCAAGTCTCAAAAAATGAGAAGCAAACTGCAGAAGAACATACAGCTGACCCTTGAAAATGTAGGGGTCAAGGGCACCATCCCTGGTGCAGTTAAAAATCTGGGTATAATATTTGACTCCCCTAAAAGTTAACTACTAACAGCCTACTGTTGACCAGAAACCTTACTAATAACATAAATAGTAAATTAACACATATTTTGTATGTTATTTGTATTATATACTGTTCTGTTACAATAAAGTTAGAGAAACGAAAATGTTTTTCAAAGGCTGCAAATCTCCAAAAAATTTTCCAATATATTTATTGAAAAAAATCCACATAGAAGTAGGCCTGCACAGTTTAAGTCTGTGTTGTTCAAGGGTCAACTGTCTACTGCACAGAACATTTAAGTTCAAAACCAAAAAAATACTATACTGTTTATATTTATATATTTGTATATTTATAATACTATATGGTTATTTATAGATATGTTCAAATGTAGTAAATATAAAAACATGGGCAGGAGGACACACATTAGCTTCACGAGAGTGGTTAGAGTTGGAGAGGAAAAAGGTTAGGCAATGGGATGAGAGGAAAGTAAGGGAATTCAAAAGGGACTCTGACATTTTATTTCTTTTTTTAAAAAAGCAAAAAAACACTTTTACCAGGAATTCCATTTCTAGGAATTTATCCTAAGTAAACAACTATATAAATGTACAAGATTCATGTTTCAGGAAGCTCATTACGATGCTATTAAGAACACTGAAAAAATGCCCTACACTACGTACATGTAAGTATTTGATCTTTGCAACACAATTTGATCTTTGGGAAAATGAGTGTGATGTTAATTTTATGTGTTAACTTGGCTGGGCTACAGTGCCCAGATGTTTGGTCAAACTCCAGTCTAGATGTTGTAAAGCTATTTTTTAGAGAGGATAAACATTTAAATTGGTGGACTCTGAGTAAGGAAAAGTAAAGGCCATCTCCAAAATGTGGGTGGGCTTCATCCAATTAGCTGAAGGTCTTAAGAGAGAGAACATGATAGATCCCCCAAGGAAGAGGAAATTCTGCCTCCAGACTGCTTTTGGACTCGAGCTGCAAGATCAGCTCTTTCCTGGTCCTCCAGCCTGCTGTGCCCATCTCAGGCTTGCCAGCCCCATAACCACATGAACCAGTTCCTTAAATTAAATCAATTTCTCTTGTTCCCCCCTCTCTTTTTTTTTCTCACACACCCTGTTGGTTCTGTTTCTCTGAAGAACTGAAGAACCGTAATACACTGAGACACTATCAGGTCCAGTATCATACAATTAGCTGGTATGGCAAAGTCATATTTGAACTTGACTCTTATGGGAAGGAAAAAAAAAGGGTCCTGCTTACAGATGGTCAGTGACATCATTTTAGTACTTTCAGTGGGCAGAGCATGTCATTGGCCATCACCACTACCACCTTTCCTCTGGGTTGTGTCTTAGTTTCCAAAGCACTTTTTCATTAATTTTTACCACAAATGAGGTGGGCAGAGCAGATATTAATCATTTCCATGTATGAAATGAGGACATGAATCTCAGGGGTTAAGCAACTTGCTCAAGATAACAAACAAGGTGAGTGGTGGAGGAACACTTAGATAGTGCAGGGCATTTATTCAGAGGTTTCCCAGACTTCTAGTCTACTGCTCTTTGCCGTAACCCTGAGAAAAGGTACCAGAGCACATTCTCTATCTCTCCCTGCATGCAGCGCTGATGATGTGGGTTTATTTCTAGCAATCTCCTTTATTAGGCCAAGACCATTTATTTCTGGTGACAAAATAATACTGTTGCTTTTCAAAAGTAAGAAAGTTTCTTAAATAAAAATCAATGTTTGTTTTTGAGAGTGTAAGAGAGTTTATTTATTTATTTCTAGCAATCTCCTTTATTAGGCCAAGACCATTTCTGGTGACAAAATAACACTGTTGCTTTTCAAAAGTAAGCAAGTTTCTTAAATAAAAATCAATGTTTGTTTTTGAGAGTGTAAGAGAGATACCAAAGCAAATTCATTCAAATATCCCTACTAGCACTTTATTTATACCTTTAATTTTAGAATATTTCATATATTATACTTGAGTTACCTATAATTCTAGTACTTAGCATTAGACTAGGTAGTAGTCAAGTAACAGAAGACAATTATATGCAACTTCTCAACAGAATAATCTAACTCACCTGGAACAGCCACAAAGAATTTCACAGCATCCCGGTGCCCATGGAAGCAGAGCTGTGCATGTGCCATTGAACAATAAGGTATAAATGTCCCTGGAGTCACTTTATCACTGTTTTCATCACCATATACTCGGATTACACTTCCAGGACGATTTCCTGGTGCCCCTGAGGTTTTATTTGCTGTAACAGAGAAACCAAGTATCAAATACTTTCCCCTAGAAAACAGTAATGATGCAGGAAGTTACTGGTTAATCCTTATGGTATTATCTAAAAGCTAATAGCCAGTTGAGATAAATCAAGGGCAGCAATGCCAATTCAAGACAAAGCTGGAAAAAAGGATGTATAGCATGCTGGTTATTTTTAGGTACCTCAGTAAGTGGAGTAGGGGATTTTGCCAGTCTAGCAATACCTAAGCTTACTTTTAAACAGATTAATTTAAAAAACCAAAATTTTCATTAACAAAAGAAAACAGATTTGATTCTTAGGTATGTCTGTTTTATTTTGTTTTTTAATTTCCATTTTAGAAAACTAACTAGTTATACAGTGTAAAGTAATGGGCATATTTTTAAATAAAATTTTTTGTGTGTCTTCTGACTTTTCTTCCCAGTGATCAGACTATCTCCCTTGAGGGGATAATAAAAAGCTGTGCTTCAAAGGACCCAGCCACTACAATAGAGTGGCTTTTATTTACACCACACTGATGGTTTACTGGGTTATTTTAGAATGACCAGACTCACAAAACATCCCCATTCCATGCACTAGTGAGTGAATAAGAAAGAAACATGATTGGTAACTAGAGTAAACAATACAGATTAATGGCAGTTTAAGAGATGTTTTGTGTTTTTATTGTCAGGAAAACAAAGTCTGAAAGAAAGTTCAGCTGCAACAAAAGATGATACATAGACTAAGCTGCTGAGCAGTAGTTTGGTGGCCATGTAACAAACATTAAAAAAAACAAAGAACACTAGCTGCAATAGTGACTGCAAGTGGTGACATTTAGGAACATTCAAGAGGGTATCTAGAGATGTGAGAACAGCCTCACAGTGGCTCTCAGAAGCCAGGAAGGAGAGTTTGGTTCAGAATCTGCACTTACCCCTCAGCCCCAGTAAACGTCCCTGGTGGAGGATTACGGCTAAAGTGAAAGAGGAGGAAAGGGGACATGGAGAGGTGCATGACAGGGAGGAAAAGAATTACTATGAGCCACCACTCTCAGCATCTTCTACCTGGTAACTTGGTGTTCAAAGCTCCTAACTAAATCAACAAAATCAAACTTGGTATGATGCCAGGTAACACACTCAGTTCCTACAAAGCCTCTACAGAACACTTTGTTCCAAGAGGACAATTTGATTTACTGTGATTTTGCTCTTAACTTGTAAAGCAATTTCAGTGAGTAAGAAATTACTGGGGAGCACTGCCTGTATGCTAGTATTTCCCCTTTTTCTTTCAGAAGTTCCTGTGCAAATAACTATACCAAAATGGAACTGTTTTATAGAGGACTGAAATGAACTTTGGGGATGTGGAATTTCTTAGGATGTAAGAAGTGGTCTAACACGTAGATTTATAAGTAATCTCAGAAAAGACAGCTGGGATTAAGAATTTAGGTCCTTAAATGTTCCAGATATATTATACCACCTTCTAGTTCTCTTCCTTTCCCCTGAAAATAGGTAGGGCAATTCTGAGGTGTTTCTTTATTAACTTACTTTATGGATTTAATGGCACTTGTTTTCAAACCATTCTCTGCCCATGAATTTTGCAACATGAAAACACTTGTTTAATAGGAACAATCAGTGTAATGGAACATAGTAGGAAAAAACATACAATGTACGTTTTGTTCACAAAATAATGGAAAATATTAAAAACATACATTGTACATTTTGTTCACATACTTTTCAAATAATGGGTAAAGAGCTTCTCTCCAGCCTAAGGAAAGGCTTGCTGACCTCTGAAGAAACTTCTCCCACAATTTTTTCCAAAACTCAAATAAGCCAAATGGAATATCCTAAACAAACTGTCAGCAATATAGGAAAAACCTGGGTGAATGTTAGGTAGTGTTTCTGGATACTGGTACAATAAAAGCTGAAGAAGAATGGACTTTGACTTTTATTTAGAAGATAGTAGAACTCTGATTCCCAAACTAAGAGACAGAGTCTCACAATGAAAAACTTTTCATTATAAATATTGGTCCTTGTACATGGTAACTGTAATTTGCTACAGTTTATAAGTTTCATAGAGTGAAGCTATCAGTGTGATTTTCTGAATTACCACACTTTTGCCAATACTGCAACAATTCCTTCTGCCTGAACTCTGGACATAACTATTTCCTGCAGCTCTCCTATTTGCATTAGGACAGTTAGCTTAAAAATATACTTACTTTCTGTCAATGGGATGGAGATAATGACACCGTTTCCTGTCCCCACCCACAAGCGATTGCAAGACACCATAAGAGCTGTGATCCTCACGAAAGAGAAGCCCAGTTTCCCAGTACCTGTATAGTGGAGGGAACATGTTATTGAGGAACTGAAGCACATGATGTTTTAAATTCCAAGTCTGTCAGTGTGGCTGGGTTAACATAACAGTTAACAGTAACAGAGAAAATGTAACCAGAACTGGGGTGCTTCCTGAAGGTGCACCTCAAAACAAACTCCCATTTGGCTGTGACATCTCTCTGACAATTTATGGTTAATGGGAGAATACTAAAGCGGCTGCCATTACATTATCACTCAGAAAGAAGATATCATTGATCAGAAAATATGACATAGGGAGTTCTAAAACAAAATCAAACTGAAAAACCTCAGCAAAAACAGGGAAAATCATCCCTCATTTGTGGAGTATAACAATGAAGCAAAACTGAAGGAACAAAATAGTAGCAGACTCAGAGACTCCAAGAAGGAACTAGTGGTTACCAAAAGGGAGGGGTGTGGGAGGGCGGGTGGGGAGGTGGGGAGAAAGGGATTGAGGGGTATTATGTTTAGTACACATGGTTTGGTAGATCACAGGGAAAACAGTGGAGCACAGAGAAGGCACATAGTGAATCTGTGGCATCTTACTACACTGATGGACAGTGACTGCATTGGGGTATGGGAGGGGACTTGATAATATGGGTAAATGTAACCACATTGTTTTTTCACGTGAAACCTTCATAAGAGTGTATATCAATAATACCTTAAAAAAAAACAGGGAAAATCAAGTGCCTTCATTTTTAAAAGCTGAAAGAGTTCTGGTTTGCCTTAAAATGTATTTGCACATTTAAAAACAATCTTTGCTAATAAACCCTATATGCTTTCCTTGTCTGTATATATATGAAGCTGGAGATCTTTAACATATGGTGAAAGCATATCCCTGAAATGAGCTTGTGTGTGTGTGTGTGTGTGTGTGTGTGTGTGTGTGTAACCCTAATTCTAGGGAGAGCTATCAGCAGGTTTTCTGAGGGCAAAGACCTCAGGTTATAAATCACTGATGCAGTTCAACCTTTCTCTATAAAGGTATACTTTGTGACATCTCTAAGGGTCATATAGGACTGGGTTAGGTGTAAAGGACACAGCAGGGAATACACTGGAAATGGTCCCTGTCCTTCTTGGGGCTTACAGTCTATTGGGGAGAGAGACAATGCTCTTCAAATAATACCAGTTTCCAACCATAACAATGATAAGCTCATGAAGAAAAAATATGAGAGGACCTAAATCTAACTGGGAATCAAGAAAGGTCCTTCCGGATATGACAGGCAAGCTGCGACCCAAGAGCCAAGTAAAAAAGGACCAAGAACTTCTTCGGCAGAGGATCCGGCACATGTGAGGACCATGAAATAGGAAGGAACTTGCTGAGTTTGGGTGAGTGTGGGCGAACAGAGTGAATGAAGAGAGTGGTCCAGGCCACTTCAGTTCTTCTGGTCATGTCATAAAATGTCAACTCATCTAGAGGCAGAAATATTCTCAAAGTGGCTGGCATTATGTAAGGGTGAAGGATGGTGGCCTGGCCCATGGGTATAGGCGTAGAGATAAAGTAACTGATGGAAGATATTTTTGGAGGCACACTTGACAGTTTCTGACTAGATTGGGGAATAACAAAGATGGAGTAAAAATGATCCCAAGTTTCTGTCAAGAACCACAGAATGAATGGCACTTCTGCCTGGCACTTCCAGTGTGATAAAAGCTCACTGTTCCTGAGGCAACTATTCACTGGTTCTACCCAGAATTTGAGACCATTTAAAAATAAAACATTGTCTTGGACTGATAAAGATAAAATGCCTTGGAAGCTTACCTAACATTTTGCTTACATAAGGCTCAATGTCCACATCCTGTAGATGCTGGTAAGTGTGTGCATGATAGAGACGAAGTGTGGAATCCAAACGAATGGAGACCCACACACCGTCACCCACCCATGCAAGCTGCCGCACCTGGCTCTCCCTCCTGGGGTGCGCGTCAAATGATTTCTAGGAAAGAGTGTTCAGTCACAATGTTACTTTGATTGCATAGGAGCTCATGTTTAAAAACTGTTGATTTGTACAATAATCTAGCAGATTGCATATCAAGAAAGGAGTCTGAATATTGCTTACTAAGTATGATTACTCTAATATACACAATTGCTTTTATCCTAAACTGCAAAACAAATGAAGAAGAAAAAAACTGAAGAATGCTGGATTTCAGTACTATATAGGATATAGAATATAGACTTATGAAAGCAATACTAACGTATCCATACTATGTAACGGTGTTCAATAAAAAGAATGAATTTGATCTCACAATTTTGCACTGTTGTAGAGCAATGCATGAAATGAGATCCTATTTATAATTAAACAAAAAGGAACCTACACAGTTGTATGTGTGTTGGTATCTCTACATGTAAAGAACAGATCTGGGGAGGAAAAACCATCAATGGTTAACTGTAGGACTTCTAGGAAGGAAAAAGGATTTGAAATAAAGGGAGAAGAATTTTTACCTTAAAATTTTCCTGCTATAGGTTTTTTTTTTTTAACATTTACAATGAATTTATAAACTGGGCAAAACTTTTAAGAAAGCAATGCAAAGAGGTTTTTACAACAAATTCCCACTGCAATCTTATTTCTCACTCCATGACACATACATGGATTTGCCCAAACACACATTAGGTACTGGGGACTCGGGAGTCCTCCCAAACAACCCATGTGTAATTAAATATATCAAAAGCCGGCTGCTCCCTCTCTCTCTGGGGGCAGCCATTTCCTCTTTCAGATAATAAAATCTCCTGCGTGGGCCTGTGTCTCCTGAGTTGTTCTGGGGAACCTGAGCTGCTTTGGGAACCCTCACTGCCTGATCCTCCTCCACGGGCTCACCATCCATTTCTCCAGTCGCTCGTCTTCTCGCCCAACACCAGCCTTCAATTTGTCATTCCTCCAGGGCTATCAGGGCCTCCTCACGAAGAATAATGAAACCAGCTAGATGACATCACGAATCATCTCAGGATGCCTGCCCTTCCCCAACTCCACAGCAATGGCCTCGCTAACCCCAGAATCTGTGCCCGCTTCCAGCAGGAAGTAGCTAGAGAATGAGATTCTACGCCCAGTTCCCCAGAGGCCCAATTAAGAAAAGAAAAAGATGGGAATGAAGGCAAATTCTGGTGCGCTAAGATCCCCACCCCTTAAGATCCAACACCAACGCAGAACACACCCTACCCTTAGTCCTTAAAGACACCCTTCCTCACCCATGAGCTGCTGCTCCCTCTCTCTGGGGGCAGCCATTTTCTCTTTCAGATAATAAAATCTCTTGCGTGGGGAAAAAAAAAATATCAAGAACCATGTATTCAAATGATACACATGTGTACTGAGGGATATGCAGGCACACATTAAACATTCATGGGTAAATCCTCCTTCCTTTTAAAAAAAAGCCACTTCCCACCTTCCATAGTCAAAAGTGGCAAGAGAGGTGAAATAACATAGAAAGCTAGGATGTCATCCAATTATCACTGAAGTGCCCTAAAACAAAGAGATTCAGAAAACAATTTCTAAAGAAGTTGAAAATAAGTAGTCTTAGAGTCTTCAGATAATAAAAATTCTGTAAGTACAGGAAACATGGATTGACTTGCCTCTATTTTCATGGCCTTTGGCTGAACCACATAGATTTTGTTCCTATAACCACACCAGACTTTGTCATGCACCACAGTCATGCACCGGATGGAATGATGAGGCCGTCCAAGGTCTAACAGGTGATAGTTAGACAAATCCCACTGCCCATCTTTACAAAAAAGAAATAGATTATTAGTTAGTGCACACCACCTTTTACTATATTTTAACACAAGAAACATTCTACTTGGGTGATAAGTAAATTTATTGATGAAGCATGCTAAAACATGAAGTTTATCTTTTATTTGCAGAGCCTGAGTTCTCTTATTCTATAAACTGCAAAGATGGGGAAGAAGCCTCAAAGGTCATCCGGTCCAGTTTGCCACTCAGTATCTGCTGGACCCCCATGCTCAGCAGTGATGTGATCAATCAGTAATAGGTTACCTGTTTATAATAATATTTTACAAGTTAGAATCAATTTTAGATTATTTTTTGAGTGTTATCTCCCTCACTCAGTTACATTTTGATGTATTTTCATGGGTAGAAGGGCAACTCATTGCTAACACTTCAGGAATTATGCACTAAAAATATAACTTTAGTGATGACAGAGATACAAACGAGGACATACCAATGGCAGACTGTGTTGTAACTTTGCTTGAACAATTTCAGTGAAAGAAAATGTACTGCCCCAGAAAGCAGCTGTGCCATTTTCAGAAAGCTGCAAATCTGAAAAATATACCCTATACCTAGCTAAAGTCGGCCTCTTTGTATGTAATCGCCCATTAGTCTGGCGTTTTGCCCAAGCAGAATAAATCCAGTCCCACTTGTTACCACCCTGTCTTCTTTCAAAACCAAGCATCCTTGGCATGCGTTTTGTACATTATCACAATTTATGGAGTCTTCATCTTGACTCTGCTGTGTTCATGTTCACTTATTGTGCTGTCTAACTATCAGAGTAGAGCAGTTACCACCGGCCCTATTCTGAACACTAATTTATATGTGGCTTAGGATGCTAACTAACTCATATTGAGTTTATAGTCAGCCTTTAGGTAATTCTCACTCTTCAGACATGTCTCCTCCATCTTACTCTTCTGATTCCAAAAGGAGGATTTCACATTAATCCTTATTAAATGTATTTTGTTCTGTCAATATAATTTTGGATTCAGTTTACAAAAACATTTATTAGTTCATTTTTTCTAGGTTTTCCCATTTATTAGCTGAGGAGCCATGAACAAGCAACTAAAACACTCTGAGTGCCCCAGTTTCCTCACTCATAAAATGAGGATGACAAGAGAACTTTCCTTCTAAGCTGTGAGGATTAAACTCAGATAAAGTACATAAAGGGCTGAACAAGGTAAAACATAGGCTTCTTACTCCCTGATGACATAAAGTCATTAACCAGTAATCTCTAGGTGTCAGTAAATTACAAAAGTGCCTAAGTACCATCTATCCCACATTTCTCTTAAACCCAGAAGGGTATGAGACTTTATGAAAAGCCTTGCTAATAAGATCTGAATTCAGCGTACCTGCATTTATAGAATATTTCTCTGACCAATCTAGTTTGTAGGAAATGAATAATCATTTTTTATTAGTACATGCTCAATTCCCTTAATTTAATTCACTCAAAGCAGATTTTCTGATACCACCACAGCCCTCCCTATCTGTAGATAAAATATTAGTTTTAGAGGGGAAGAATAAAAATAAATAAATAAATAAAAATAACATGACATGACATGAAAATGATTGAACCTTGCTTAATTAAAAATTTCTTTAAAAACTTTCCATATGTGAGTGCTTGCAGATTGTTTTTTTTTTTTAAAGCAACCAGCAAACCTCTTTTAATGAATGAAAAGACAAAGCTCCGGCCACCCAGGAGGGGCTCCAAGGAAGGATGCCGAAATTGTTTTTAAAATACTATACAAACAAACAAAAACCCATACTCTCACTAAATTCTTCCTAATTGAGTAAGTATATGAAGGAAAAACAAATGCCTCCATATCATATTTTATGAGTACCATGAAGTGATAAAACTTGCTCATTATGCTAAACGTGTTTTCAATGAGGTACACCACTAATGAATGCCTCCAGGCAGTCACTCACATATTTACTGATGTCATACTTTGTTAGTATTCAGTTTGAACCTTTACTCTTTCTCCTACCAAGTATCATTTCTTTAAACATAAGAAGCCGATCTGCTTGAAAATGCTTTTGCAAACCAACAAATTGGTGCGTGTTATATATTTATAACAACTTACCAACTCCTCTGTGAAAGATTGCAAGGGTGCCATCAGCCAGGGCCACTAACACAATTCCTTTCACATGTCTGCAAATAAGAAAAGGGATTTCAGAACTCTCCACTGGGGAACACAGAAGGGACCACATGCTACTCAACTAGTTCAAACATTCTCAGAGGGCCAATCATAATAGATGAGGAGCTTATACCAGAACCTACACGAGCATACTCTTTCCTTCACTGATAAAGTCTTCCTATGAAAATGGCAGCTGATCTAAATAAACAGCCTGTGTGGCAAATCAATTGTTCCATTTTCTGGCCCATGTTTCTCCTCACATCACAGACTGTTGACAAAAATGTCCACACACCAGACATACACCTTGAGTAGAACTAGGAGCTCTGTGGGCTTAAGAAACAAGCTGATTTATGATAGTCAAAATATAAAAAAGGACTAGTGAGTTAATGTCCCAATCAACATATTCACAAAAGTATACAGAATATTCTGAAACAAGTATTAATTAATACGTATTAATTGGTCCTTTCATGAAGTATTATAGAACTCATAGTATGGTGAAGAATCAACCTGGAAAGTTTTCTATTTTACTTTCTAGTTAGAGTTTCAACCTTATTCAGCTTCTTTAATTCTAAGACTCTTCTTAAAGGGTTTAAAAAAATGTGGATAATGATGTAGTCATGAAGTACATGTTGGCTTTAAAGGTCTTAAAATCTAGTTTATACTAAGGGGGAGAATTTCTAAAATAAAACTTACACAATACTGAGAATCGAATCTTTCAGTTTAATAGAATGGAGACATTTCCGCCACTGGGCTACAGATGAATGGACATACAAACTGCAAGAACAAAAGCAAGACTGGTGAGGAACAGAGAGCATCACGTCGCTGCTTATATCTAATAATGACCACGGAGTTCCTTCAGAAGCAAAGAGAAACATAAACATCTTAGGAAAAAAATAACAATGAGAGTAAGGGTAGGCCTGAGGCAGAGAAAAAAGCTGCTTAAGCAAGCAGAAACATTGAAAGAACGAAAAGCCAGAACTAGATAATACATGAACAGTCAGTTTTAGGTTACCCCAGACTTCAAAGTTCTTGGCTAAAATCCTTTTTAAAAATTATTTTACTTTTCCACTACACTGAACTCTGACTTTCTGATGACAGAGTGGTTTACATCAAGGAGTGGCAAACTATGGCCCTCAGGCCAAACTGAGAGCCCTCCACCTGTGTTAGCCTGCAAGCTAAAAATGGTCTTTACATTTTTAGACGGCGGAAAAAATAAAAAGTATTTCATGATGTGTGAGATTTATATGAAATTCAAACTTCAGTATCCATAAATGAAGTTTTACTTGAACCCAGCCACACTAATTTACTCAAATATAGTCAATGCAATGGCTGCTTCTGACCACAATAGCAGAGTTGAGAAGTTGCTACAGAGTCCATATAGCCAGAAAGCCTAACATATTTCTTATCTGACCCTTCATAGAAAAAGTTTGCCAACCTTTCATTTTGTACTAGCAGACCCTCTACAGAAAAGATGTACTAGTCACCCTGCTTAACCTTTGGAAAAGCACAACTTTTTAAGACTCCCCACACTACTATAAAATGAACAAACCATGTAATGATAGTTATTGTCTCCTAAGCTTTCAGACTGATTTGTCTTGGTTTACCTAGTAACTCTACTAAAAAGTTTTATTTAGAATTGGGCCTTCCTGCAGCCAAATAGATTAGTTTAATCCCTCATACTTCTTGAACACATTCTAGCCCACATAAACCTTCTATTCATCAACAATTCTCTCTCTGTGCTGTTCAGGATCTTCTATTTCTGAATCACACAGACTTCAAGTTTTATTTATCTCTTCTTCCAGGAACATCATATAAAGAGAACATTCTGTGACAATGAAACATATGGTTTACCATTGAGAACCAATGCAAGTCCAGTTTATGAGGTAATTGCAACATAAACTCAAAATTTGTAAGTATATAAAATTTTTGTTTGTATTCATATATAGCACATTTTACTTATTTATCTTCTGATTTCAAAAGCAAAATACTAAAGATACTCTAATATTAGATGAATTGGCACCTACCAGCCATTCTGAGCTCCAAGCCACATAGTTGGTAAAAGGCTACTCATTTTTTGGGCTTCTTCTCTTACCAAGTCTTGTTCATTTGGCAATACTGATATCTGATCTTTATACACATCTGAGTCATTACTGGGAAAGATAGGGTAAAAGGAAAAAGGCTGAGTATGCTTACCTATAGTTTTCAGGGATTGAATGTTTCTATATTTTAGTTTACAGTTATAAAAACAACAAAAAATCAAACATTAAAATTCCAGAAAAGCCAAAGTTAAATGCTTTCATTAAATATTTCAACAATTATACCAGCAGTAAATCAAGGCCTGAGGTGCAGAGTAAGGGAGTTAACACATGGTAATAAAATACAGCAGTTAATACCCAGACTATAATCATGGCTCCCTCTTACAGTTATTTTGAGTTTTATGAATTTCTTCTGGGGGAAGAGCAAGGGATGCTTTCTTTTAAAACCAGATACACATACAAAGGAGGGTGAAGTATAAAGAATTTTCTGAAATAAATTGGTATGCTGAAACACACTTGTATTCTACCCCAAAAACCTTCTTTCTTTTTGACTGTCAGAGCACATTTCACAGAAGATGTAACTGGGCTATCAAATTCAAGAGACAAAGGAACAGCATTTTCTTCCAAGCTCTTTCATCCTTGTTAGTTTAAGATCTAAATTAAGCCCATAATGAAGCATCTGGGATAGGCTCAGACTCTACACAGATACAATTTAAAAAGATGACTTTATTCTTAAATTAACAATTAAATGTTAATAAACACTTGGTTGCTCTATACGCTAAGAAGAATATTAAATTACACACAAAAAAAATCCAGTTTAGATTTTAGATAGACCTCCATCAGGTTTCTCAAAGGCCTAGAGAAGGCAAGAAAGAAAACTTAAAAATTCATCAAATGAGCCTAGACTAAATAACTTTTTAAGTGTTAAAAGAAGAGCCTAAAACAAATTATTTTCTAGCAAAATGTTTTCTGGAAAACTAAACTCAGAAAGATCATTCAAGCCCACATGTGAAACTTAAACAACCTATTTTGCTAATAACTAGAGTGGGAGTGACAGTAGGGGTGGGGATTTAATGGCAAAGGGTTATTAATAGAGTAGAAGGCAGTTGAGCACAATTTCTTTTTTAATCATACTGGAGGAGAAAATGACCAGGAAGATTTTGGCTAATATACTTTATAGGCAAGATTTTTTCAAGTTGGAAGGAAAAGAGGATAAATAGAAAAAAATATACTGAGAGAATGCAGTAGAAGAATAGATAAAGATATAGTGGGAATAAGTAATAATATCTAAGTTGGTCACAACAATGCCAATTAATGGGAATAATTGTGGCTGCTTGAGATTATTTTAGTTCCTTTTGCATGTGCACTTATCTAGTTTCCTAAGTTGTTTACCCATTTGTATACCTTGTCTGATACACTGGTGAGAGGTCTTCTGGGATCTGAACTCCCAGAGGATCTGTAAAGACATGCTCGGTGTACACGCCGGTTTGGGAGGTGTCCACAGTGTCTTCAGCAGACCCTGCGTTGCCTTCCGTGGCTTCAGTTGCTTCTTCTGCTGTTGGAACATTTTCATCAACCTCACTACTTTCTGCTTCCTTCTCTACAAAAGAAATAAAACATACTATTCTGAGATTGAGCTTTTCTTCTAATAATTTCCCCATACAAACCCCCAACATGGAATTCCACTCCACCTACCCTTTCCTTCTCTACACTGTATCATGAAATTGAGAGTTCCTGACTTCATATAACAGTCATCACAGCATCACCTTTCAAGCTCTTTCATTAAGATCTAAATTAAGTTCATCTGGGATTGGTTCAGACTCTATATACAGGTGGTTTTGAAAGAAGATAGATGTACCTGGTGGTTTTTCCATCACTGGAGAGGTACCGTTGGTACTGGGCGAAGTGGCAGCTGCTGTCACACCTTCTGCAGAACAACCAACCACCGTGATGCCCCCCAGCAGGCTGTCTGTCTCTGTGGAGCTATTGCTTGTCATGCTTCCACATAAGGATGCTTTGTCTACCTGTCCAGATTCTGAAAGCTCTTCTCCTGCGGGGTAGTCTGTTTCTCGTGCTCCTGAAAACAAGATAAACCTTCTTTTAATAGCCAACGAAACTCCTACACATAGCATTTTTTCCATTAAGACAACTGTAAGCTTTAGAGTGTGCAGATGAGACAAACAGCTATTCAAATATACTGCCAAGACAGTAAGTTTAAATTTTATCTAAACTAATTTTCACAAAATGAGGAAGAAGCTTTAGAAATTAAGGTAATACTTGTATTAATACAAGCACAAATAAACATGAAAATAACAGAAATGATACTTGTTTTTAATGAGTGCCTCAGCAGCCACTTAGTGAGGTTAAAAACAATGAAGTCTAAATATATCTGACAAGATGGCAAAAAAATTCTTTTATATTTCAAGGTCACTATTTGAAATATGGTCTTCCACCACTATTCAAGATTAATCACCCTAGATGTATATAATGCCTTAAGGTATTAAGTGCCATAAGACATTTAAAAACTAAGCATTTACAATATAAAGATAAATCTCTTCACTTTTATTTATAATAATCTGAATTTATATCACAATAAAAATTTTTGCTGTAGTAAAATATACTTACCTTTAATGTACATATATACATACATGTAACTAAAATCCGCCACTTCAACCATTTTTAAACATACAATTCAGTGGCATTAATTACTTTCACAAAATTGTGCAACCATCACAACTATCACCTAAGAAAAATCTGTATGCATTAAACAACACCCTGTTCACCAAGGGCTCCCCGCCCCATCCCTGGTAATCTCTGATCTACTTCTGTATTTATGAATTTGCATAGTCAAGACACCTCATATAATGTGAAACATACAGTATTTGTCCCTCTTGTCTGGGCTATTTTACTTAGCATAACGCTTTCAAAGTCAATCCATGTTGTACCTGTACATCAGAATTTCATTCCTTTTTATGACTGAATAACAGTCCATTGTATAGATTTATCATGAACCTCTTTATATTTCACACCAATGTTTTAACATCATGTAACATTTAGTCCAGAACTTTAGAAGGCCTTCTCTCAGTAATCAGTCTAAATAGCCCCCTTGCCCTCTGCCTCCGAGTCATGTCCTGTTACCTTTATTTTGTCTTATTCATGGTATCTGAAAATATCTTATTTAGTCATTTATTTCAGTTTATTTTTTATCTTCCCCAACTAGAACATAAATTCCATGAGAACAAGGCATAACTATATTTCCTGTAACTAAATCAGATCCTGTCAGTAAGGAGGTGGGAAGAGAAAGGCATGGCTCACTCTTACCTGGTATACTTGCTATACACAAAACATGGGAGTTGCAAACAGTGAAACTGTCTAGGATATTGCCTGGTTGAATAGCATCAATAATAATAACTTTCGTAGCTGAGTGAGTGCTGGTACAAATCCAGACTAGACTGGATAATTCTTCTTGATTTTTTAACTCCTTCTGTTGTTCCTATAGGCAAAACAGAATGAATGTTTACAGTGGCATGTGTGTGTAAACATCAGTAAGGCTGTGCTATTATGGTAAAGGGCAATACTACGTCAAGTTTATTTACAGATTATCTAGAGGGCTGAAAACCCAACTACCTTTCAATATTAACTTCAGTAGACTAAAAACTAGCAGTTAAGGCAGATCAGTGATAAAAATATTCTGTATCTTTCTTTGTGTTAGTTGTTACACAGGTGTATATGTTTGTCAAAACGCTGAACCATGCCCATTTCAAGGGTATACCTTATTGTATATGAACTATACCTTAGTAAAATTGATTCTAAAAAAGAGAGAGGGTTAAAGTGTAAGCTAGGGCCTAATAGTCCAGATCATAAGTTGGCCCCAGAAGTAAGTTTTGGATCAAAGAGCTAAACTAATAGTCTCAGAAACCAGGAAGTCAAATGTCAATGCACACACTTACCTTAAGTTCCTGATCTAACTTATCCAAACTACTCTGAGATGCACTTCGCTGCTTACTGCCTTCTGTGTCCAAACCAGCAACATCCTTGTAAAACACACTCGCACCAACAACAGAACCGCCGTCTCTGGTCTTCCCACCTGATAAATTGACTCCAACAGCACACCACAGCTTTTTGTTTAAGAAGAAAAAAAAGAATAAGTATTATTAACTTGCTTTCTCTCTAAAAATATTTAGAACTTTTCACATTTTTTTTAGAGCTTTTCACATTTCTTAAAAAAATCACATATTCAGAGCATCCTAGTCTAAAACTGAAAAGGAATGGATAACCTCACCCACAGAAATAGAACTGAAACATTTTTAGCTTTAGAAAAAAAATCTACCCAGAGCTCATGAAATATTTTTAATTTCAAAATTAACTTACTTTCATTGATGTATCTTTTTCATCTAGAGGTCTGAGATAGACAGGCACAGGTAAGTTTTTCATCTTATTTTCTCCTTGGCCATTGGTTACCTAAAAATTGGGAGGGGAGGGAAAAAGGCATTGGTAAGCCTCATCAAAAGGTAACTTACAGCACCACTGAGACATAAGCAAGCACGTGTATTACATATTTTCTCTGAAATCAAATTCAAGTTAATTTTGTCATTAATATTTGTAAAATAAGCAGAAAATACAGTGGCAATTAGAGAAAATATACAAGATACTATGGCAGCCCAGAAGACACACCAATTGATGTGCATGTGTGTGTGTATGTGCAGGTGCTGAGTCTTTTAGGGATAGGGAATACGGAATAGACAGGTAAAGTTCCTGACAACCTGAACTGAATTTTAAGTCAATGATTTAAAAGGCTCCACAACGAAGGCTTCCTACAACTTTCAAACAACAGATGCCATTTAAAAAAAAAAGAAATCTTCAAATATTAAAGCAGGGCAAGATACTCATACAACTCAACAGCAAAAAAAAAAAA